TATTTTGTGGTGTATCCAGTATACTTAGCACTTTTGGACACATATACCATGATTTTAGTGTCTATGCTGTTGTTGTATTTTTTAGATTAGCAATTGGAGACACTTCTTTGATTATTGATATTAAAATATACTTAAAAAGAAATATACATGTTCGTATAAAAATGTAAAATATTTAACGAAAACAGTTGCTTAATATTGGAGAGGCAGCTTTGATAGAAACTAACAAGTTCTAATATAAATTGATTTAACAAAAGACATTAGAATTACAAGTAAACACTCTTAACTCATTTTAACTTATCACTCTTAACTTATTTTCTTGTGTTAGTAAGTAAAAAAAACGGTTATCAGCCTATTCGTTTTAAAAAGGGATGGACATGGCCTAGTAACTAACATGTTAGCCTGTGATTCGAAAGGTCCAAAGTTCGATATGTGATGCCCCTGAGAATTTTACGCACTTTCAGCTGTAAGCACGCTATAACAGTGGCAGTCAATCCTGTAATTCGGCTCAAAAAAGCTTAACAAAGCTATTTTGGCGGTGGGTACTACTGGCTGGTTACAATTTCTCTAGTTTTAAGCTCAAAATTTGGGATCTCTGTAGCCCACATATGCATAAAGCGTTGTAAAGGTTGATAATACCAATCGTGTTGTAAAAAACAAACAAAAGCCCGAAAACAAAGTAAAACCTACATAAATTACCCACATTCTCATAATGAAATGACACAGTTAATATTTCATCATATAAAATTGCTCATAAAGAAATGACACAGTTAATATTTCATCATGTAAAACTGCTCATAATGAAATGACACAGTTAATATTTCATCATATTTCATCATGTAAAACTCATAATGAAATGACTCATAATGAAATGACACAGTTAATATTTCATCATGTAAAATTGCTCATAATGAAATGACACAGTTAATATTTCATTTTGTAAAATTACAACTCGTATAGTAAGATTTCTGTTGAAACTTAACATCTAACATCCTCTCTAAGAAAACTTCTTTACGATTCAAGAACTGTAAAACGCTCTTCTTCCCTATACCGGCTTCAACCTGAGTAATTAGTTTTAAAGTACAGCCCTGATTGCTTTACGTTTGTTAGAAGTAGCTTTCGTATTGGTGTGATAATTAATATTATGTTTTCGTAGCCATTCGAATGATTTTAGCGCCCTTAAGATTCAAAGTTAAAGCAATTTTTTACGTGTTTCATGAAATGCACTTTTGCTGCAATGAGTTCTAAAAGTTTAAGGTGTATCTTTTTATGATCTTATTTACTTCTGGTATATTTACCTACTAAGATATAAGTTTCACAGTGTTATTGTTGATCAACATTTACTTGTTTCTATAAATTACATAACACTGATCATTGTTCAATGTGATTTAATTGAACTTCAACTATACTATTTGTGTTTTCAAATTTCAACAATACCAGTTTCTTCGCGTTGTTTTTCTCTTGCAAAACTAAAACTGCCCTTGCGAATAAAAAAGTGTTCTGTTGGGTGTTTACTCCATTTGAAAGTTTAAATTTGTCATTGAACTTTTACTACCTGTCAAATACTTTTTGTAATCATTATCTTTAGTATCATGGTCACTATATAATAAACGTGAAAAAGAGAAGAAAGAAAATTCATTGTAAAATCTTTCTTGTGTAACAGTTTGATTTATTGTTTTTTTTCTTCCATACTACATTTATACTGGGCCGAGCGTGGCCTAGTGGTTAGCGGTGCCGAACTAGTTAGCGTGTTGAGGTTCCGTAGGTCACGTCTTGTTACCGCAAAAAATAGAAATAAAAAACAGCGCTCCGCATTTTAGGGCCAATGGAATCGTCATAAGAGCGACGACCAAATCCCACTATTCGATCTGACAAGAGTGACTCAAAAGTTGGCAGTTGGTGATGTTGACTAGCTGCTTTCCCTCTAGTCTATCACTTCAGATAGCACTCGTGTCATTTTGCGTGAAATCCAACAAAACAAATACATTTATAGCATTAGTTTCTTCTTTTAATCAGTTCAGTATTTACAAAGATTGTAATTATAAACATTAGTTTTACAGTGTAAATTTGAATACCGTCGAAACATAATAGCTTACATCTAGCTTCCGCTACAGATTTAAAAGTACTAATCCGTCGTAATTTGAAGCGAACGTCATGCAATTATCAAAACTTCTTTGAATATTCATTCAATAATTGGAGTCTGAAGAATATATATAACTTTTTCCAATGGAATTTTCTGTTTCTCAAAAAGTATTTTTCAAAATACAAACTACTAGTTGCACAAAAAGCGTGACAAGAATCTGCATTGCACTGTTCTTTAGTCCTAAAGTTAATATATTCGAACTATTCAGATAGCTACAATTTTAGAAAAATGGCTCGAGCCATACACAACTATAAGAATACTACTGTATAAGAAAAGTATCAAATTGTTGTTTACTTTATTTTCCTTTCAGGAACCTGTTTAATGTTCCCAAGGAGAAACGTGAGTCTTATACTTCCCGTCTCCTATCCTACTGGTGTCTCGTTCTACCAGTTGTTTACCATACTTACTGACAACGCCGGTATAGCTAGAGGAAAGACTGTGAGCTACCAGATCAACAGTGTAATTCTACAAGGGAAAGAAGGCATTGAGCATCCAAGAAACGATATATTTACAGTCAACTCTTCAACTGGTCATCTTTCTCTTGCAAAACTCTTAGAGCCACAAGCAGAATATCTTGGTAATCTTAGGCTTCTATCTCATGTAAATAATTTTATACGAAAGCACTGTGACGTTTAATTTATTTTCCATATAAGTGGATGGAGGTGGTAATATATGCATATATATATATATATATATATATATATACAAATTAAACAACAAGTACAAACTGAATTTCCTTTAGTTATTATTGTTACTTGTATAACTAAATATTTTGTCCCATAACTTTTATATTGAAATAAAATCATTGTCCAGAAGAAGGTTTATGTTATATTCTGTATTAAAACCAAAGATAGTTCTTCAATTATTAACGTTTTAGTTGACTAATGATTTCCTTAGCGTATAAGGAAATTTTGTTTTAAAAGTCATTAGAATAAAACGTTGAATTGACAAAGATGTCCTTTTATGCTAGTAGAAAGTATCTTTTGTAAACCAGTAAAATCATAAATATGTTTCGTAGAGATAAAAAGAGTCTGTATGAATTATGTGTTATGTTCTCAATGGACCAGAATGATGTAAAACAGATATATAACTGATAGTTTGAAGGATTGTGTATTTAACTTGTAAAAGACTTGTAATTAATTGGTCAAATAATGTGTAAGTATTATTACATATTAGCAATTATGGTCAAATATTGCTTAATTTCTATGGTTAAAAAATATCAGCGAAAAACTAAATGATATTTACCTTTCATGCTTTACATACTGTAAAGTTTCTAAAGATGTTTGTCCGTTCATTAAATTATTCTCAAAGCTAAATGTATTGTTCAGAAAGTAAATGTAAATATGTATTGTTGCTTACATGGTAATTTCAGTAACAACCATTGTAAAACTTTATGATTGTATCCTATCTCATGAAGTTCTATCTACTTGTTTGGTGATGTTAAAGCTTCAAGGTCAACATATTTATTGTCTAATAAGATTGTAAGTTACCGATTCTTAGAAACATTTGAACTCCATGCGAAGCAGCATCTCAAACAACTGAAATAGGATCATTAAGACTTATCCTTATAACTTTTATTTTCTGTCATAATTTGTTCCCTACTGTCCTATTTCTTATCGTTTTGTTCATTTTCCTCTCACTTCTTCTAATCGGTGTGAATAAGTCCACCTTCTTTAGACAAATACTTCTTCTGGGATATTTTTCATGAATTGAAGATTGTGATGCAAGATGATCAACTTCTCAGCCATAGACATTTTTAGTTACTTTTTTATTTCACAGTTCGCTGGTTACATTCAGCACATACTGTCATTCATGGGAAAGACACAAAAATATCCACCACGAAGACTAAAGTACTAGAAATTTGCAGTTCTTTTCACTATGTCTATAAAGGAATTATTATATTTGCATATTCCTCCCATTCAAACTGATCGTATCACAGGCTGAAGGACATTAAAAAGAAATTACCTTCTATAAATTTCTAAATCAAGTGACTTTAGAGCCTTCTTGCAGATTTGAAAATCCTTGAGAAACTAATTAGCGAAGATTCCCACTTGTACAACTTTTATTAAGTATCATTAAAATCTGGTTGAAATATAGATAACTTTTAATAATGGAAACTGATTCTTATTTGTTAGTGGAATAATGTTTAAAAAACCCTTTGCCTTGCGCAGATTTTATGAGAAACGTTTTCATATTCCCAACAATACCTATGAATATCTGTGCTGTATTAGTTGAGAACTCGCAACATTTGTTAATGCACAATATACATTTATCAATATTTTCTTCCTATTGGCTATATTATCTGCCAGAACAGAAAAAATCTTTAATGATCCATCTTATTAATACTTAGATTAAATAGAGTTTCATTAAAAACAATGCTCTAGGTCTTGTGCTGCACCATAATTTCTATTTTTAACAAGATTCTGCGGAGAAGAACGAGTTCAGTCTTAACCCACCTATCTCTTAAAATTTCAACAGACACTCCACTTTAAGTACACCAAAGGCACAATAGCCCAGTGAAGCTGCTTCAGGATCTTGATAGGAATGTGATATAATAGAATTGCTGTGTTTACAGTTTCCTCAATGATCCTTCTCCTGAAAGCAACAATTAATTTTGAGAAGGGGCTGGAAACCTGTGAACCTTTGACAGTAATTACTTTTTTACAGTTGATTACATTTCTTCATATATTTAGTGCAGAGTTTGTCAATGAAAGTCATAGCAAAAAATCTGATATTTTTTTTTTACAGTAGTCATATAATTTGGTGTCAAATGACCAGTTTGTGAAATGAAAAGCCCAGTTAACAGTTTTTCTTCACAGATACCTCTTAACATCGTATGTTATTAAACACTGACAAGTACAAGCAGATTATTTAGAAATTAACCTAATCACCAAAGGCATAAACATTTATATCATTATAGTTTTACTTTCTTACTTGCACACACTTATTTTATTGATATGATCCCTGATAATATTCTACGATAGAAAGTTTTGCTGCGAAGTAAAAACACTAAAGTATAGGGTTGAGATTTACACATACACAAATAAAACGTTGTCCAGTGTAAAGTGCATTTCGAATTATAATGAAATGTAATAAAATGTTTAGTACAGAAATATCTGAGGTGGTTTACCTAAAATATCAAATCTAAAACGTTCATCTGTCCGGTATATTGACGTGATTTTGTTGTTAGTTTTTAGCACAAGGCTAAACAATGGGTTATCAACGCACTATCCGCTGTGAGGAATCAAACCCTGGATTTTAGATTGTAAGTCCGGAACTTACTGCTGACCCACCAGGGAAAATTGTCGTGATGACCCTCATTTGACAGAAGCAAAAATTCTGCATAGATCATAAGATTTAAAATATTATTCAGTTAAACTTTCTTACTTGTTTGTTTGTTTAAAATTAAGCATAAAGCTACACAGTGGGCTATCTGTGCTCTGCCCACCACGGGTATCGAAACCCAGATCCTAGCGTTGTAACTCCGCAGACATACCGCTGTGTCACTGGGGGCTCTTTCTTACTAATTGCAACTGTACTGTAGGGAAGATTGATTTATGATTTTTTCAATATTCTTGAATTGTGTTATGAATTTTAGAAGGTTTACAAACATTAAAAATTTTGTTCAGCAATATCAGTGCATTAACTTTTGCAGACTTTGTATCATGTAATATATTTCATTCTAAATTTTGCACACTGAAAGGAAATTTAAAATAATAAAAATTTATAATAGTATCGTTTCTTACTTTACCTATTTTTTCAGCAAGATCATATATAAATGTAAAGTGTTAGTCCGTGAGTCAGACCACAAAAATTGGCACTTCGGTACCACTTTGAGTGGATAAAATCTACTATGCATACTCTGAAATCTCATAATTTGTAGTTTATGAAAATCCTGTTGGATATGTCAAATATGTAGCTTAGTAGTTAAAAAATGCGTTGCAAGGCAACCAATCGCTGTATTTCAAATGTGGATTAAAAACATAAAAAAATGAATATCTCAGCTACATATGGAATTAAAGTATTTATATGTATGTATTATAATGCTGGCTACCCAATGAGCATGTGACCCTGGTAATAAATTGTTAAGTTCATTAGCTAAAACGAAGAACAAAGTGAAAAATACATATTTTGGGGGATAAAATATCTATATTTGTTACAAATTATTCACGTGTATGTTGTACAAAACTGCCAAGTGGTCATAAGCTTGATAACAGCATAGAACGTTATCTTGCGTGCGTTTTCTTGTGCATTTTTATGTGTGTACAGCCTCAGCAGTCAATTGCAGAAATTTTAAAGTGTTGGTTGAACCGAATCTTTACTGTTTAAGATGCTTTTTGCCCAAACGTTCTACTAGGATTTTGTGCAATTCTTTGCGATCCCTATTATGAACCACTATCGTGGTTTATGATAACGTACTGAAAGGTCAAGTTAACAACACTAAGTATAATCCATGTTAGACTTACAATGAGAAGAAAATCTTATGACTATTATTGTCTTGCCAGCCTACAACAAAAACGGCTTGATATATTGCACCCAAACCTTTTGGATAATACTAAATAAAGTACCGCAAAAGTCATATAGGTATGAAAAAGTTTGTTTCTTTTATATTTTGCATAAGCTAAAAATCTTAATAATCTAGTGTAAACGATGTTATCATTGCCCTTTGAAGTTAGTTTTCTTACGAACATTTGGAATTACCAGTCAATAATAGATGAACATTAGATGACTGTAACATGTAGATATTCAATACTTTGTACACTATACAATCTGTCCCTTAAGGGAACCAACCCCTATATTACGTATGAAGTAAAGGAGTAAAAATCAATACACATAATACTAAATTTTATTAAACACATTCGTAGAATAATTAGTTTAAAGACACTGAGGTTTATTCAAAGCGATGTTTTAGACGTGTATATTTTATTAGAAAAGGCTCCTTTTCTACTGGTAAAATTTTATAGCGCTTAGTAGGGGTTGTGTCTTAGCCAGGGCATATAATGTCTACAATATCTCTTGCCTTGATTGCTTACATTTTTTATGATCCTGATTTGCAGGTTTTAAAGTCACAATTTTTAGTTATCTTGTATATAACCTTGAATAATCTTGGTCGGCAAATGTCAAACCTTGCCACAGAAAAGAAAATAGATCATGATAGGTTCTATAGTACATGGGTTCAGTTAAATTTCTAAATAATTGTATCCTTCTTTTACCTTGTTTTACCATTTTCATTTCGTTTTATTTGTGTATATTAATGACTGATTATAATACAGCAATTTTTAATCTGAGCCCAAGAACTAACTCAACTACATCAATGTAGCTCATAGAGAAAGCTGATAAATCCCCATTTTCATACCTCAAAAAATTCAGATACACGTTGAACAGCTGGAACATCCTAACACATTCAGATTGACTAAGGTGTTAGTTTACCTGGTCCTGGGTAATGCTGCTCTGCAGGTTTTCCAATGAAGTATAGTGTCATTGAACTTTGGCGAGTCAATGATGTGTTTCCCTTTCACCAAGTAGTAAAATATTTCCTAGCTATTCTCAATCTGGCTTCATAAACTAACTTATGTA